CACCAGGCTGTACCCCCCTTCATAAGCTCCCCCCTGCTCACGCTGTGTCCCCCACCTCGAGGGGCTGTCCCTTGGGCTGAGCAGGCAGTGCTGCATGATGGCACAAGGAGGTGTCGTCCCCCCCCACCCCAAAAAGCAGCGATGCACAGCATCCGGAGGGGGTCCCAGTGACAGCCCTGGGGGGGCTGTGCTGAGGACAGATGGGGAGCAGGGCAGGGACATGCCTCCAAGGGGGCCACAGCAGACACGAGCACCCCAATGGCACAAGGTCTTGTACCCCTCATGCCTGGGCACCCACCCAAACCACCCAGCAGAAGCCACTGAAGGCCACTCGTGGTCCCTGGGGCTCAGCACGAGCCCTTGCCATGGAGGGCAGCTCCAGTCCCTCCCTGAGGAGAGCACCAAGCAGAGCCCATGGCACCCCAGGAATGGGGGTCCCTGCTCCTCCTCCTCACAGCCACCACCCCTGTACGGCCCAGAGTGCCCTACCCCGCCATGACACAACAGCAACACAAGGCACAGCAAAAATCTTACACTTAACAAAAGGTTAAAAATTTAAATACTCTCCAACTTTAGTGCAAGGCAAGCACATGATACCACAGGTCCAAGTAGGTGCTCAGCCCCCCCGGGGGGCCTGGCTCAGAAGGAGCACGAGGCAGCAGCACGCACATGTGCACACACATGTGCGCATACACACACACACACACACACAGACAAGTTATTGCTCGGGACACAGCTGGGACGAGTGTGCACAAGAGGGGACATGACCAGCAGAAGGGAGAGGCGCGCTGAGCCCTACGCTGCTCCCCAGGGACACCAGGGGACTCCAGCCTCACCACTCCTGCCCTGTCCTGGGGCACAGGAGCTGTGCTGGCTCCCCGGGACCCCTGGGGACACACAGACTGAGCTGGTACAACAGGGGACAAACTGATGCCAACCCTGCTCCCTCTTGGGTCACAGCTGACAGCATGACCCCAGGAAGGGACATTCCCTTTACCACAGCTTTGCTCCCTGAGAGCAGGGTCCCTTATGTGTCCTCTGACACCGAGCTGTGGGACTGGGGACTGCGGCACCCTCAGCAGACACAGATGGCTGGTCTGGAGCTGGTGGGACTGGGCCGGGGCCATCCTGCACCACTCTGGGGATCAGACTGACCCTTTGGACCCAGCAGCGGGTACCTTCTGAGCTGTGTCCCACTGTGCCACCAGCATCCTGCCAGCGGTCTGAAGAGGGGGCCGGGATCAGCTCCCCGGAGCTGGCAGCATGTGCGAGACGAGGCAGGAGGAAGCAGGCTCCGGCAGACAGGGAAGCAGGGATGAGGCAGTGACGTTCTGCTGCCAGGATGCAATGGTAGACGCTTTGGCACAGCGCTTGCCTGCGCCTGGGGGCTGAGCAATGGACTCCGCTGGAGCCAGGGACGCCTCAGCACGGCCAGAAAGGTCCAGGAAAGATGCTTTAGGCACCTCAAGGCACAGAAGGCCTCTGCCCAGGACTCCCCGGTACAAAGCTGGGACTGTCGCTCCCCCCATAGGAGGACATTTGTGGCTGTGACAGGGTGGGGGCAGTGCGGGCCCCCACCTATAGATTAAAAAAATGACATGTGATATGTACAGACTGACATATATAAATATACACCAAACCTGCAGCGCCACTTCGGCACCGTGGAATGTGTCAAGCAGAGCTGCTCCAGCCTGGCCTCGGCCCACGCCGGCACAATCCCTCCCTCCCACCCTGGGCCCGGGAGGGGAGCGGCAGCCGGCGGGCGGCAGGAGCACAGTCCCAAGCGGCAGATTCACAAGTGTCCAGGTCTCTCTCGGGGACGAGGGCTTGTCCCCGGGCCAGAGGCACCCCGGCCCGAGCTGCCTGCTGCCGCCAGGCCTGTAGCCATCCTCACAGTCTTCAGATACAGACGTGTAAAGCTGTAAACAAATCCACCTTGTGGGCCCACTGCTACCTTGTCCTTCAGGCTGGGCTGTTGTTCTGCTGGGCACCCAGAGAGGCAAGGGGGTCCCCGGGGCTGGAGATCGAGCTGTGCTCTACAGCCGGGTGGGCTCTTCCTCGCTGTCGCTGCAGTTTCCACAACAGTCCTGAAGTCAGAAGGGCAAGGAGAGGGAGGAGGGAGAGAGAGGAGCACAGCAAGCAGAGGGTGAGCATGGTCACACAACCCAGCCTACAGCTGCCCTCTGGCAGGGAAGGGCCAGGGACCACCCCCCAAGCCTGTGCATGGGCAAGCTACATGGAGGCAAGGGGCTGGAGGGGACCCCCAGGCTGCAGAGAAACAGTCAAGCTGCATCTGGGGGTTCAGCTCCTGGCAGACAGACTGGTGAGCACACAGCTGACTAGCTCAGAAGCTGGGAAGAAGGGCTCCATGGACTACAGCCACCCAGGGAGACAGCTCAGTGCCAGCACAGACGATCTGCCCCGCTCAGGGCTCAGCCGGCCACAGAAGCAGCTGAAGCCCTTTTTGCCGGAACGGGAGGGAGCCTGAGCACGGGGCAATGCCAAACCCTTCACAGTTTCTCAACCCTTCACTGTGTCCTGCATATCTGAAGAGAGGAGTGAAGGGAACTTCCCACAGACCCCTGGGAGCAGAGCTCCCAGCAGCGGCGCTGCAGGGGCAGCTTTGGCTCAAGCTGAGGGCAAGGCCTCCCTCACGAAGGCAGCGAGAGCAGGGAAGCGGGATTAGTGGCTCAGGGGGCAGTTAGAACAACAAGCAGCTTGTGCTCTGCTGGGGGAGAGGGATAGGCACTGAAGGACAACACTCCTCTTTCCCAGATCTTGCCATGTCCGCGGGCCACCGGGTATTTCCCTGAGCAGAGCAGCCAGGACAGACTGCTCACCTCTGGAAAGAGAAAACACGTGGCAAATCACAGCCCAGCCCCTGCTACAGGCAGCTGCCCATCCTCTGGCAGGTCCTGCCTGCCTTGGGAAGGGCTGGATATCCCAGCCCAGAGCTGGCTCTGGCTAGGGCAGTCCACTGAACAGTGAGACACTACTCGGAGCGCATCAGAGAACCAGGAGTCAGCACTGGGTGGCTGAGAGTGGGTCCAGAGCCAACCATACTCGAGTCCCACAGCTGCGAGCAGCTGTTGAGAGGCAGCAGCCCAAACTTTGCCAGTCCTGGAAAGAAGGCAAAGACTGTTCTGGGCAGAGGAGACAGGCAAGCAAGCCCATAGCAGCTGCAAGACATTTCCGTTCTCCTCATCCCTCGAAAGCACTGCTCTCTGCCTTCTCAAGGTCTGGCAGAAATGCTCTGGGGAGCTCAGGAGCCCATTCCAAGAGCAAAGTCTTCTTCGGGGATGGCATTATTCATGTAGGAAAAGAGCAGACTTGCTATTTTAGTACCTTCAGCAACAGCCATGTCCCTGTGTGACTGCAGCATATTTACCCAGGACCCTCCTTTAGTCCCCTCGACTCCCCTCGCACAGGGAATGCCAGCCAGGCAACGGCTGGCTCCCTGCAGCCTCACGTGGGTCCCTATGACAGCCTTGGGGTCTGGCCACCAGGCACAGGGGGAAACTTTGACTGCTTCCCCCCAGTGCTCACCCCCCTGCTGTTTGCCTGGCACAGACAGGAGAGGGCTCAGGGCTGCTACAGGACTTGCCAGGGAGGAAACGCTGGGCAAACACTTACCTGTCGGCTGAACAAGCGCTGGAGTAACCCTTTTTTGGGCTGTGGAGAAGGCTGCCCTTTCCAGTCTAGGTCTGGGGGCACTGTGCCGTCTGTGCTAAAGACATTCAGTTCCTTAAAACACTCCGTCTCAATCATCTGGAAGAGAACAAAGATGGCTGCAGTAACTGCCACACAAAGGCTATCACCGAGGGCCCAGCAGAGCACAAGAGCAGCAGGGAGAGCATGAACCCTGCGAGACACTGCACGTGGCCATGGTGGGCACAAGCAGGAGCAAAAACCTGTCCTGCAAACCTACCTCATTCTGCCAAGGAATGGGAACGCTTCCTGTAGCAAACTTCTGGTAGAAGTCATTGTCCGTGGGCTCCAGCTCCACTCCTTTCACTGTGGAGAACTGTTCGATGTCCAGAACATCCTTGCAGTAGATGGCCTGGGGCTAAACAGGACAAAGACTGCTCTAATGCCAGACTCCACTAAGATGCCACCACCTCAAGCAACTGCAGCTCATGGCCAAGCCCAGTCTTCCTCTCCCTGCAGCCCAGAGCTTGCTTGACCCCTTTTTTCCCAGGCTCCAGAAACAAGAGAGAAGGGGATGGGGCACCATCTCCCTCACTTGCACCACCCCAGGGCTCCTGCTTCCCTTGACAGCACCAGTGACTGAAGAGGTCAGGAGACTGGCAGGCACTTACATCTGGCTTGAAGGGGGGGTCCAGCATGCCTGCTTCCAGCCTCCTGAAGTTGAGATGCTTGAAGAGAGGGTGCTCCTTCACTTCCTTGGCCCCAGCTCCTCGGCACCCCAGGCGCTCCAGAGGGTCTTTGCACAGGAGCTGCAACAGAAAGGAAATCAGTGCCCCAGGTGGAGGGTGCTTGGGGCAGCAGCAACCCTGAGGTTGGCCAGGCTCCTGCAATATGTCTCTAGGGTCGGCACAGGCCTGCTAGGCAGCTCTGAGAGCGAGGAATTAAGGCACTCTGGACTCTCCTGCTCGGTCTTATCAGAGCCAGAGCAAGGGAACGTGGCTGCCAGCAAAGACAGGTGGGAGGGAAGGGACAGGGATGCACACTCGTACCATGGTGCAGAGTGAGCGGGCGCAGGGCGAGAACTTCTCTGAGTACTCCTCCTGCACTTCCTTCACCAGCCGCTCCACCTCCTCCCGCTTGATCTTCTTCTTGCGCTGCTGGAAGGGGGACTGTCCCTCGATCATCTCATACACCAGGCAGCCCAGAGCCCACCAGTCTGGGCTGAATGTATAGCGCTCATTCTTCACCACCTCTGGAGCTACACAGGAGCAGGGGTGAGGGATGTGTGAAGGCAGGGAGAACATGTGTGCAGTCAGAGACCACTTTTTGACTAAAACTGGGCCACTTACCCATGTAGCCAACTGTCCCTACTCGGCCCTTGATCGTTTGGCCCTCTGGCACGTGGACAGCTAGTCCCAGGTCTGAGATACGGATGTGACCTGCACAGAGGAGAGGGCAAGGTCAAGGGACAACGTTTGAAGCTGCCAAGAACACAAAGTAACCCTGGTTCAAGCACAGGAAAAGAGGAGGACCCATGCCCAGGGCTCCTCTTGACTGGCACTCACCGTGGTCATCTAGCAATATGTTCTCTGGCTTCAGGTCCCTAGGAAGGAAGAGACTTGATTAGCAAGAAGCCCGTTGTCAAAGCAAAGGACACACGGAACAGTGACATCTGAAGAACTGACAGATAAGCAACAGAGGGATGCAATGTCCCTGCCTCAGGCACACAGATAACATTCCCCTCACCCCCAACCCCAGAGTTTGCCCTGCAAGCTCCCCCCTCCCAGGCAGAGGAGGAGGTTGTGACAATCTTCAACCCTCTGCAAGGAATCAGTGAGCCTGTGGTTGACTCCTTTGCAGGAGCAGTGCTTGCTATGGGGCAGGCCGTGCAAGAGAGAAGGAGCAGAGGCTTCTTCTGCTTACCCTGCCCCAGGGCAAGGCAATGCTGCATCACACAACCAGGTGAGTACAGTCATACAATCAGCTTGTTCTCCCTCCTGCCCAGCTCAGTCTCCAGCTATGGGGGCAGCCCACTCTCCTTTGTTCTAGTGTCAATACTGCCCAGGGAGCTGAGCACCCAAGTGCCTGCCCCGAGGCACTTGCTGCATGATCACATCCTGTTCTTGGCGATCATTTACCAGCCCAAGGAAGCCAAGCTGGGCTCTCCCACGACATCAGCTTTCTCTTCCTGATCCCCTCTCACCCAGCTCTGTGCTGCTTTGAAGCCTGAGCTTATTTTCTCGAGAAGATAGACCCAGCTGGGCTAGTAAGAGCAGCAGGAACCCTCTTGCTTCTGCAGCCCGTACAAGGTCTCTCAGCAGGGGCCAGGCAGCGCGCACCTGTACACTATCCTCTCCTGGTGCAAGTCCTCGAGGCCACAGCAGATCTCGGCAGCGTAGAAAGCTGCCCGGGGCTCCTCGAAGCCAGCCTCTCCCATGTGGTAGATATGGAACTTGAGGTCCCCTCCATTCATGAGGGTCAGCACTAGGCAGAGAGCATCTTTAGTTTCATATGCATAGGCTAAGCTCACCTGCAATTCAGGGCAGAAAGGCTGTTAGAAGACACAGCTGGAAGAGGGAGGTGCCCATGCTCTGATGGGCACTTTGTCATCCAAACAGCCACTCATGGGCAGCAGGTCTGAGCCTTTGCCAGCAGTGGAGGCACAAGGGGAACTGTGCACACCCAAGGAGGCTGCGGAAGTGCCCAGCAGCCCCTGCACCCCACCAGCTTTCCTCAGATGGGAAAGACACTATTTCCCTGGGTCAGGACTGCTCCCCTCCAGGGGTGAGCAGCACCCAACAGCAGTCCTGGGGCAGCTTCTGATGAATCCTCCACAAAGGGAGGTTTCAGGCTGTCCACACCTCAGGGCAGCCAGGGAGAGAGCTCCCTACTACACAGCTCAGGGCTAGGCTTCTGCCCACTTGGCTGTATGGAGAGACAGTTCTCACTGCTTTCTTCTGCCCCAGAGGTTAACAAGGTGCCTGTGAGACCAGATGGGTGTTTGGGCCTGACTTTGGGGACATTTAGCTCATCTGGTGGAGGCAGCAGGAGGTCCTGCCAGACACCTGCCTTGTGAGAGATCTGCAGCCAACAGGACCCTACCTTGTGGGCAGGGCCTGCTCCTGCTTCTCCACATGGGGCGAGGAGCGCGGAGGTGCCAGGCTGGCTGGTTGGAGGAAGAATCAACCACCGCAGCAAAGTGAGAGCAATTCCTATGTACTTACTACAAACCTACTGTTCACTTTTTCCAGGATCTGTTTCTCATTCAGGGCCATGGCCTCTCCTTTCCGCTTTTTGATCCGCTTCTTCTCCAGCTTCTTGCAGGCATACATCTTGCCTGTGGCACGCACTTGGCAGGCACAAACCTGGGGGGGAAACAAGGCTCAGCACCCTCCTGCTGCCATTTCCAGGGAGAGGTCTAGGTCTAGATTCTGCTATCAGGAACAGGCATGGGAAGGCAAAGGTGTTCCTTGTCCCCACCTCGCTCTGAGGTTAGCAAGAAGCCCGTTCTCAAAGGAAGGACAGAGGGAACAGTGACATCTCCAGATGTCACAGATAAGCAGCAGAGGACTGTGGTGCTCCTACCACCTGTAACAGCACCATGGCTGGTGCCTGGGAAGACAGAAGGCCACTCCAGAAACAGAAGGAAGCCTGACAGAGACAGTTTTCAGGAGCACAGTTTCTGCTCCCAAGACACCAGGAAGAGACCTGACTGCCAAGGCAGCAGTACGCACCACGGGGCACAGGCTACCTGTGCAACACCCCCCACACCTCCAGTGCCCAGCAAGAGGGGAGCTCCAGCCCCTCAGAGGGGAACCGACGGACGGTGAGATGTCCAGAGCACAGCAGTGCCCAGTGCAGAGCCCCCACAGCTCTCCCCAGACAGCAGCACCTGCCTCCAGGTGCTGGAGCAGCTTGTAGCACCCCGATGGCCAGCCCAGGTCTGCAACTGGCTGTGGGCCATGGTGGCTGCCTGGTACCCTGAACGCAGAGGAAATGCTGGTCACTCACCTCCCCAAAACCGCCCTTGCCCAGCACACGGTACTGGCGGAAAGTGTTTTTGGTCACTGGCTGCCTGTGAGGGAAAGGAAACTGGAGTGAGATGGGAGCAGAGAGAGAGCAGGGGCTGAAGCCCACACCACCCCCGTGCCCTGGCCTGAGAGACTGTGGCTCTCCCCAAAACCCCTGCTCAAGCAGACCTTGCTTCCCTGGGAGGCAAGCAAGGCTTGCCTAGAGTGCCTGATGGTGCCAATAAAGGGCCCTGAAGGAAAGCAAGAGCGGACAAAGGACAGGCCCCTGGCTCCTGCTAGGGCCCAGCACAGGAAGGAGCCCTCAGGCAGCCCGTGTGAGCAGGGTGCAGGTCTCCCAGAGATGCCAAGGAGCGTTACCGTTCCAGCCATTTCCACTGCAGGAAGCGGTTGAAGTACAAGCTGTCGAGGTAGTCAGCAAAGGGAGCCACACTCAGGTAGTCGTGGATAAGCCTAGGAGAGAGCAGAGCCAGCAAGGTTCCTGAGAGCTGACCACAGCCACAGAAAATGCCAGCGGTCCAAGGGAAGAGGGGGTGAGCAGCCCTGCCAGCCCGGCCACTTTGCCATCCCCTCACCCAGCCCAGCACTGAATCACCCACGTGGCCCTGGCCCAGAAAGCCCCACTCCACGCTAAGCCTGATGCAAAAGGAAGGTTGCGTTGGAGGTATCGCTGTGACGAACATAGCACCCTGGGATGGGGCTGGCACTGCTAATTGTGCCCTCTCAGCACCAGCCCGGGCTGTGGGACAAAGGGGGACAACGGGACTCTTTGCAATTGCCCCTCTGCTCACAGGGCAAATGCTCGCTCCAGGCTGTAATCAGCTGCTGAGAGCTGTTAGCAATGTTCAGCACCAGGCGCTCAGTTGTTCAGCTTCAGATGAATATCCAGCACAAAAGGCCACAGGGGATCCCGCTCGAGAGAGCTAACTGCCTCGGAGAGCGGTGCCAGGGCTGCCCAGCGGAGTAAAGAGCCTTAGACATAGTGTCTAGACTGAAGACATGCATCAAGGAGAAGCGGACGGGCTCTTCCCCTTTCAGAGCTTGCCAAGAGCAGGCAGGGCCCAGCCCGGAGGCTCTGCATTCAGACACCGACTCTGGTTACCACACACAGAGCTAACGCTCCCCAGAAGACTGCAGCAAAGCCATTGCCACAGCTCTGCACTCGATTAGGCAACGTGCTCCAGCTACTGTTCAGGGAGGGGTGGAGGCCATAAGCCTGGTTTGCCCAACAGCTTCCGCTTTGCACCCGGAGCCAGGACCTCGGCCACCGCTTCTGCCATGGGAACAGAAGTGACCTTAGATCCCTGTAGCAACAGCCAGTGTAACCTAACCACAACGGCCACATCTGTGGCCAGCAGGACAGGGCAGCTGGCACCGGGACTGTGGCTGTCAGCTCTGCTCTACGGGTGCCTACGAGATCCAGGCACAAGACCAGGAACATCGTGGCCAGATGCTGAGTTTTGCTGAAACGGGGTTTTCCCAAATAGCAACTCAAGACCCCTGGCAGACAGAGGAGTGACAGAAGTTTCTGCAGCAGCTTGTGGCTCCCAGAGCCCACAGGAGCTCCCTGCATTTGTTTTCCTGTAGCTGCAAACCACTAGCCCAAAACTCCTGTGGCCGTAGCACCAGCCCTCGCTCTCCTAGAGGACAGGACCACAAGGGAGAAGGTGAGTTAGCTGCCCCTATCGTGCCCACCCTATGCCATGGTGCGACCTGAGCAGGCCCCAGGCCTCCAACTTACTTAGTGGATTCCTTGAAGAGCTCCTTGGAAGATTCCTGTTCCAGCCTCTCACAACAGGCATCCACCAGCTGCGAGGGGACTTCAGGCACATGGTCCTCACTCTGGGGACAAAGGGATGGAGTCAGGCATAGGGAGCTGAGCACAAGGATCTTCCCAGGAAGGAGAAGCCCACAGGAACAGCAGAGAGGTGCCAGTCTGCTTTAGGGCCAGCAGGAAAAGCAGCAATGGTTGCTTGTGAGGTGGTGGGGTGGCTCTGTACTCTGCCCTCACCATCCTGCCCAGCACATTTGCTGTGGCAGGACACGGGCAATGACAGCTGTCAGCTTTCCAACTGCTCTACCATTGCAGGCAGCAAACACAACCCTCTTACTCACGTTTGGCTTCAAGTACTTTTCAATCAGGTGCTGCCCGCATTCCTTCCGCTTCTCATCTGGAGCCACTTCGTACCCTGCCTGCACAGAGCAAACAGTGTGAGGAGCCGGTCCAGCCAGGAACCCAGCCTTGCTACCGGGCAACAGCTGCAGAGCAGCCCTCTGCCCAAGGTTTCCCATGCTTTCCTGGAAAACCAGATCTCCAGCTCCCTAAGCAAAGGCCCAGCCCTATCTTGGAGAAACTGCAACTCACAGGTTTTTTTCCTTCAGGAAAACCCTACGTGCCCAGAAGTACCTGGCAACCGCTGGAGCACTCAGGGCCAACCAGTCCATGCCCAGGGCGCCAAGAACATCCCTGCCTCCCCTGGTGAAGCCCAACGGGGCTTTGCTCTTACCACGGCATCCAGGAACTTGACGCAGCGTGACAGCTCAGGTCGTGTCTCGCAGAACTGCCGAAAGAGCATGTGCCCAATGGGCTGTTTCTCGCACAGGCTGTGGTAGTCCCGCTCTGCAAATGTGGAGAAGATCACTCACTGCCAGCCCTCAAAGGAGCAGCCACAGCCCACCGCCCCGGCCACCAGCAATGGTAGACGGGCTTGCGACTCACCAGCTGGCTGGTCACAGGTCCCACCAGCCTGAGAGTCCCAGGAGAGCAAAATGCACCCCGTGGGTACAAGAGGCATGATTTTACACTCCCCTATGAAAGATCCTCCCCAAAAGAGGCTTGGCCTACTGTTCTGTACAGCCTGCCCCCCTTGTTTCTAGCAAGGGACCTTCGTGTCCCCTGCTTGCCTGGATGCTCTCTTCTCAATCATCTCCCCATGGAGATCAACTGACTATTCCAGATGCACAACTTTCCTTGGAACACAAGGAACACCCCGGGCTTATTTTGAGGCAGATCTTCCAGGCCAAGAGTTGCTCTGATGACTCTTACAAACCACTCATATTCCCAAAGGCCCTGCTGGAAGCAGCAGCATCACAATGGGAGGCACCATTTCCACAGAGGTCCTGTTAATGCCACACACAGCAATTAAATCCCCTCCCTGACTCCACAGCACAGCCACTCACTTGTACATCAACTCCTACTGCCCTCCTGGAGCTCGGCTTCCCCGCTGATTCCTCCTACCCCTCTCTGAAGCCTGGCAGCCCAGGCACAAACCCCTTTGACTATCCGGAGCACTTCCAGTTCTCTGCTTTTTTTCCCACCCCTTCCACTCTCAAGACGTGGTCTGATCATGGGCCAGAACTGATTTCTGTTGCAGCCATTGCCACCCAGGGCTGTGAGCTGCAGATGTGCAGCCGTCCACCGCCGCGCAGGGGATCTTCCAGCCCTCCCCAGTGCTGGGTATTGCTGGCCTTCCCTTCCCTCCCCTGCCCAACAGTTTCTCCCGAGGAAGCTGTGGCTTCCTGAGGGTGCAGGAGAGCGCAGAGTCGGCCGGGCTGTGGTGGGGGAGGAGGATGCCTCGCCAGCTCCGCTGCACTGGCCGGTTTCTTTGTGCGTGCAGAGGAAGGAGTTCCCTTCAGCTGAGGAGGACATGAGTTTGCTGCCAGCAAGATCAGAAGCTTTTGGCTGCCCTCGCCGCTGCCCAGGCTCACACGAGGTTTCTCCTTGTGGCCAGGGCACAGAATGCTTAATTCTGCAGTGGGAAAGCAGCCCACCATGCACATGGTCCTGCCAAGCCTCTGGAAGAGGAAAGAAATGCCTTTCTAGCAGGATGTGAAGGGAAAACAAAACCACTCCAGGCAAAGAGTGATCCAAGCACGAGGAACAGGGTCACCTTTCCCACGGGGAAACCAAGTGAGGTGGCCACCACCTGGGTCAGAAGCACTTCTTGCGTGCCTCCCCAGGGGCAAGTGGGGACACTGGTGGTGACAAGCAGCCGCTGAGAGGGACTTGCCTCCCAAAACATCACAAGGTCACTGTCCTGGACAGTGGGACAGCAGAGACAGACAGATCACCAGCATTCACCACCAGCAAACAGGCAGCATAACAAAAGTGAAGTTCAGTGCTGGAAAACATGTCATGACACCCACAGGAAGGGTGGCTGCAGGCAGAGGATGGGCATCAGCTGAGGGAAAGCACTGCTGAGGGGCACACAAGTCAGAAAAGCAGATGGGGTTGGAACAGCCAGGATGGGAGCTGCAAGGAGAGCCCATGCCAGGGCTGTGTTGGGTGCTCAGAACTTGCTCCAGAGAGGAACTGTGCAGCAAAACTGAGGGGAGAGTCCCCATCTGACTACACTTGGCTGCGAAGCTGGCCCCAGGAGGTGGTGCATGGCATCCACAGCAGCAGAACCAGGCTGTTGGGAGCTTGGAGGTTACAGTGTGGACAATGGAGGCTGAGTTATTCCAAGTGATACAGTCCCACATGCCCTCAAAGGGAGTCACTCCTCTCCTTGGGGCTGCCAGGACCTGATAAACCTGGGCAGGGTGGAATTGGGGACCGGAGCTACAGAAACCTCCCAAACCTACTCAGACCAGTGACACTTGCTCTGAAACAAGGCCAGCACTGTGCAACTCTCCAGCTGGCAGCTGAACCTGGAGTGACAATTTAAACAAGCTCTCCCCTTCCTAGGAAGCAGAGCATTCCCACCCCCTGCGCTCCAAAACAACTTCACATGATCTCAGGACCAAGCCTCCTGCACAAACAACATTGAAACCATGAAAAGTACAAAGTGCAGTATTAAAATGACATGTCACACCCTGCCCAACTGTACAATTCTCATCTGTACCCCAGATAACCCAGTTTTGCCCAAGAAAAGCCAGTGCATTAGTGGTAGAAGCCGAGTCTGCACAGCAGGGCTGAATCCCAGACAGGGAGCCCAGAGGACGTTAGCAGGACCTCTGTTATTTATGCCAAGGCACCCCAGAGTGATGGTCCAAAACTCTGCAACGTTGAGCAGGTCTGTTTGCACAGAGAAGGTGGTGTACCTCTAGTGAAGCTCATCACAGTCTAGAAGGTGTGTGGGTACATCAACAAACATTATCTGACAAGCGCCACGCAGCTGTGACTTACTGACCCATCATTTCTTCCCCGAGCTCTGAGAAATCCCGGCTGGGCTTTGGCCAACACGTACCCCGTTATAGGTCCCTGATCCTTGTACGACTCAATTTTGGGTGCACAACACCCACACGTGCTCACCCACCGGCCCCGGGCACTGCCCAGCTCCCACCAGCCACCGCGTCTCACCAAGGGTTTGTCGAAGATCCTCACAGAGGCTGATGTGGGGGAACTGCAGCATCTGGCGCCATTTCTTACTCTTGCCTTTCCGGTTTCCGCCACCACCTGCAGGGCACACAAAATTGGTACCATGAGTTATGAAGCAAGGACATCCAGCTGCAGCCAGGAACCAAGAGAGGAGATACCCTCTGTCCCTTCACATGAGCAAGACCAGGCAAGGAAAACAAGACTGAAGTGGTACTGCCGTCTCCTGGCTGGCAGAACTAAAGCCTCTGACTGCCAGAAGAAGTGGACAGACCAACCACTCTGGCTGCTGAACAACATCTCAGCCAAAAACACAAAGACCTTTCACCTGGACATCTCAGCTAATTTGTATTTAGGATGGGAGAATCAGGGCAGGGGCAGGAGTGCCTAAAGCCACAGGTTGGTTTCGCCTGCACAAGAGTTCTTGGCTCCCAGGCCTGTCCTCAGGACCTCTGCATAACTAATCACCTCTCCAGGCCAAGCCTTGCTCAACGTGAAGCTTTTCCTGCCGTAGTAACGATGTTCATGCCACCTACTCATTTCAGACTGATTGCTTACTCCAGGGAGGGGCTCTCAGAGGGAGGACATGAAGCTGGGAGACAGGAATTCCTGCTCTAATCCCAGCTCCACAGACAACTCACTGCATTGCCCGGGGCTCATCACTTCAGTTTCCCACCTGTGAAGTGGGGACACTCCCACCTTTCTCCAGAGATAAGCCAGCCTCAGAAAAGCGAGATCCAAGAACCAGGTATTATTCCAGCTTCAGTTGCTGCAGTAAATGCCCAGTGCTGGAGGACAGGGTGGGAAAGCTTCTAGATAGACCAAAAAATTTACATCATAGCAAGCACTAAGTACTGAAATACTTGTACGCCTGATTTCTGGGATCAGCCAACCTCCAGGGATTGCCTTCCCCCAGCTTGGTGCCAACAAACACACAATCTCCCACCTCCCTTTGGAAATACATTAAACCACCCTGCTGAGTTGGGCCAAAGGCACAACTTTCTGAAATCTGGAGGGGGGGACGGACGGGGGTTGAACATCATTTATCAGCTCTTGAGAAACACTTTCATAACACTTTCCTCCACTGCGGATGCAATTCAGCCCCTAATCCTAGACACAGTCCCCGGGCCATGCAACTCCCTGCACCGCAGGAGGCCTTGGTTGGTCAGGCAGGTGAGACGGGGCCATCGTGGCCGGCTTTCTGCAGGGCCACCCCCGGGTCCGAGCCCCTGGCACGCTGCGGGTCACTGCGCCACATCTGCCCCGCACCAGCAGCTGGGCTGCACGATTGTACAAACTCAGGAAGGAAGTGACTCAAGGGTAAGCAGGGGTGGAAGAAACCAGCAGCACAGACACCTTCTTGTCAGCCACCGCTTGTGGCTACGAAACGGATGGGGACAACTAAGTAAGGGCGCAGGAGGACACGCTATCCTCCCCCTGCGAGCGCCCAAGGAAAGGCAGAGGTGTGCCCCGTGGCACCTGGAGGACGAGGACCGGCAGCTTGCATTTCCTTGAGTTGTTTGCTTTGAAAGGAGGCTCCAGCGCCCTTCACACACAGCTCTCCCCTGCCCTCCCGGCACCGCAGCAAACAGCCCAGCAGGGAACTTGTCTCCTGCACAACACCAACCTCCCAGCACCCCCATTTTGGGGATGGGGTGGGGCAAGGGGTGGCCCACCTCCACCCAGAGCTCACCATATGGGAGCTTCAGGGCTTGCTGATAGCTCAAAGCTGGTCTGCTGTCCCTCTGCCAGAGGCCAGCAGGCAAGGGGGGCAGCAGGGGAAGGATCTTTCACTTTCCAAACCCCCCTGGAAGAAGCCAGTAAGAAGCCTTCCTGGGTCAAACCCTCCTAGAAGAGTTTGAAGGAAACAGACCATGGTCATCTTACAGCATCAGCTGCAGATGGTTGTCAGCAGCTCCCCCAGCACGTCCAGCATGATCTCAGCCCTGCACTCCCACACCACACCAGGAGGGTCCCAAAAAAGCCAGGCTGGGGCAAAGCATGTGCTGCTGTCGGACCCAGCCAGCCCTGTCCTGTCACACAGGCTGCTGGAGCTGGCCCCAGTGGCCACCACGGCCAACCAGCCATGGTTGGAGAGCTGAGGATGGGCAGCAGAGCCACCTGTGGAACCACCGTCCTGAGCGTGCCGGTGGATCCTATCTGCCTGCAGCCAAACTGCCCACCCTCCGCCAAGGCTGAGGCACCAGAGGAGCACGGGGAAGCAGCCCAGCATCCGTCTGATACCTCGCTCTGCACCAGCAACCCAACTCTGCTCTGCCAGGAGACCATCTCCTGGTCACTTGCTCCACGTGAAGCAGGGCCTCATGTCTTCCAGTCCCGAACGTTGCTGTTGGGTTTTGTCTGGATTCGCTTTGGAACCAAACCTTTCCGTTATGAACCCTAACGCCATGGTCCACCGCGGTCACCATGCCTGAAGTACCGACACTCAGCCTGATTTCCAAGCAGCTCTGAAATGTTTCTGCCCACGTAAATTTAATTCTGTTGCTCTTTGCTCCCGCAAATCTAATTTCTGCAGCTCTCTAACTAGATTTCAGCGGGCCCCTCAGGCTCCAGAATGACTCGGTCTGGCCAGCTGCACACCGTGGGCCAGGAGGGGCTGTCCTCCCCCCGCCGCTTTACGTGATTTAACGAACTCCCCGGCGCCCGCCCGAACCGCATCTGCCCCGCAAAGGGCCAGGCTCCCGCCTGACAGGAGCACGGCTCTGCTTAACCCATCCTGGGGTTTCCCCGCACCGGGGCCTGGACACAGAGCCCTCGCCCCTGAGGCAGCGGGAGGTTTGTGGCCCCGCAGCAAAGCGCTGAGGGAACGGGGGGCCGGGGCTGGTGTGAAAGCGGCGACCTCCCGGTAGGGACAGCTCAGGGCCGAGCCCCGGGGAGCGGACGCCGCTCTAGGAAGCGGCCCAGGTGGGCTGACGGCTCAGGCCACCCGCCGGCCACCACCTCCCGGGCGCTGGGCTCGCTCCACGGCCGGGCTGTCCCCGGGCCCGCCTGCCCCACCGCCGCCCC